AGGCCCTTCCCCAGGTTGGCCGCGCCGGCCGCCGTCGCCGCCCGGACTTGAGCCAGGCACGTGTCGAACAAGTCCGAGCTGGTGCGGTGAAGCTGACGCTTGATCTGGGGCAAGTACAGGGGTGCACGATAGGGCGGGGAGGGGGTACTCTTATGTTTTGCATGCGACACGGGGGGAGGGGGAGGGGTTGCGGGGCGGGTGGTGACAACAAACTGTTTGTCGCATCAGACCCCACGTAGACATGCAACCGTATCACAGAAATGGAGCGACGACGCTTCACTCTCCTTTGTTTCTGGATTGATTTGGTGGTACATGCTTGTGGTGAACCAAACCAGTCGTCTTTCTTCACCTTCTCTCTCCGGAGGACGCAGTCGAAGAGGACGCGCGCCCGGTCCAAGTCGGTCCTGAGCTTGTACAGCGATAAGAAGTCCACCCAATGTCCGCTGAGGGGAGAAAACAAATAAAATCAACAAGTCCCAGCGACAAACATACAACAAGACGGGCAGCTCGGCGGTTAGTTCGTGACAAGCGAAGCGGAGGGAGAGGGAGAGGGCGCGCCAGATGCGTCACGATCAACAACAGGGAAGGACACTTGCTGTGTTTTGGCTTCAGAGTAATCGTGCTTTGAACGTCGGTCCACGGGGTGCGGTATTTTTTACGAGTCTACTTGGATATTCTATCACCAAGTCGCCGCGTGTAGGCGGAGGGCGGCGGAGGGCGGCGGGGGGTGGCGGTGGAGGTGCCAAAACAGGATGACTGGACGATGAAGCCGAGCAAGCCTTCGGGAACGGCACGTGCACAAAACATGCCTGGAACAACCCCAACAGGGTCGCAAACAAAACGCGCTTCGTCTGAGGCGACTACAAAGAAAAGAGGACAGCAACAAAATCGCGCTCAAGTCAAATCCTTCAAACGTACACATGAGAAGAGTCCGTTGAGAGGAGACCAAAAATAAGTAGCATCATGACACACAATACATACCTCGACAGCTGCCGCAAGCAAAGCGCCGTGTGCTCCTGGCAAGTCACCGCGTACTTGAACTTGAAGGGCGTCTTCTCGGCCTCCTCGGGGGACAGGGTCCGGCAGTGGCGCCCCGCGTTCGCCGCGCACATCGGGTGCATCCACTTCTCGCACACCCGGTCCTGCGCCGTCGCCCCCCCTCCCCCCCTCCGCGCCGCCGGGGTGCAAGGAACCACGGCGCCGTTCTTGCGCTTGCAGATGTCGCACTTGTGGATCTTCTTTATCTCCTTCGGCACGCCCTTGGTCTCCGCCGTCTTGAAGAAGGACGCCGGCGGCGGCTTCGCGCCGCCGCTGTTGCCTCCCCCCCTCCCGGCCGCCACCGCCGCGGCCGCCGCTGCGCTGCCGGCTCCCCCTAAGCCCCCCGCGCCGCCGCCGCCCAGCAGCTTGCCGCCGAGAGCCTTGCTCGAGTAGGGCCTCTTCCTGCTGCTGCTCCCGCTACGAGCGGTCGCGCCTTCCATGTCTTCGTCTTCATCGTCGTCGTCGTCGTCGTCGTCGTCTTCCCCCGTCTCCTCCTCCGCCGCCGCCGCTGCCGCCGCCGCCGCCGCCGCCGCCGCTGCCGCCACTGCCGCCGCTGTCACCACCCCGGCAGCCGGCTTCTTCGCGGCCTTCCCCTTACCGATTTTACTCTTCGCGGCCTTGCCCTTGCCCTTCTCGCCCGTGCTCGCCCTCGACGTCCCGGCCGCATCAGCACCAGCGCCAACCTCCTCGTCGCCGCCCTCCAGCTTCATCGGCGCATGCCCGCCCCCGCCGCCATCCGGGGTAGTTTCGTCGACCCCACGAGGGGGCGGAGGAGGAGGAGGCGGAGGGGGTGGGAGGGGGTCCACGACCCGAGCCCCCGGGGTCCGCTCCGCGCAGTAAGCGTGGCAGTACTGGCTGCCCTTGATCCGGAGAAACGCACCGCCCTTGCGGGGACACAGCGTGCACGACGGCTGGCTCACGCGGGCTGTGCACGGCGCGCAGACAAACCTCTCTCCCTTGCCTGGTGGGGAGTGGTACCGGGGGTCCCAATCGAGTTGTTCCGAGGGGGAGGGAGCGGGGGAGGGAGCGGGGGAGGGGGGATGAAGGTCGGTAGAAAAACTAAGGGATGGATGCAACGAATGTGCGACGCTGCAAGAGAAGGATAGTGTCAACTGCCTCTCCATTGTGGAGTATTGATTTTTGTTCTAGAAGGTCTCCTCTGATCCCAGCGAGGATCAACATACGACACGACCGAAACACCAGAGCAAACCTAGATGACCTCGGTCTCGTCTTACCCTCATTTCCAGACCCTCGCCCAAACTCTTGCACGCAAAACGAAGCTACGTGGCCCTAACACGCAGTCGAAGCACCCAAGGATGGTAGTAGCCTTGCCACCCACAAGCGTCGCCCGCACGTTTACCTCATCCATCGATTCCGTGAAAGAAAACGACCAACGAACAAACGACTCCACCAACTCGTGCACTGCGCAGAGACAAGACAAGGGACAGAAAAGAAACCCCGGAATCGTGTCCTATCATTCGCCCACCTGCCCCCGGACCGCCAACCCCTTCCGGGACGCCGTAGCACTTCCTGTGCACCCGTACGCCACACTTGGCACACTGCACCAAGTCCTCTTCCACCGCCGCTGCTGCCGCCGCCGCCGCCGCCGCCGCCGCCCCACCCGCCGTTTCGCCACCCCCAGCTGCGGCTCCCGCTCCCCCTCCTTCAGTCCCGGCCGCTGCCGCAGGCACGGCCGCGGTGGAGGCCCCGGCGGCGGCAGCAGCGGCGGGACCGAGGAGCACGGGCGCGGCGATCTTCATGCACACCGCACAGGCGATCCTGTCGTACGAGTCGGGGTCGAGCGGCCTTGGGCCGGAGACGCGCATGGTGCTCACGTTGCTCTGCTTCTCGCGTTCCGCCTTCTTCTGCTCCTGTTGCACACGTTAGATAATGTTTGGTTTTTAATATCAAGCAAAAAAGAAGCAGTAGCAAAAACGGGTTGTTTTAAGCAAAAAAAAAAAAAAAGAGCAGCAAGACAAAGCACACAACCACACGTACTCAAGAGACGGCAATGTGCTTGGCTTTCTTTCTCGACGAGACCACCACCATCATCATCATCATCATCATGCTAACACCAACAAATACAACCGCAACATGGAACCAAACATCATCAACAACAACGTCGACACCACCACCACCACCACCACCACCACCACCAACAACAACAACAACAGCCACAACGAAATCTCTCACCCTTTTGAGCTGGGCCTTGGTCTTCTTCTTCTTCTTGCCCTCCACCTGCCAGGCGGGTTGGAACTGTTCGGTTCCGCGCGGCGCATCGCAAAACAAAAAAAAAAACGGCGCAACACCAACCGGAACATCATGAGCGAGAAACTCTCCAAACTACTACGCCCAAGAAATCGTCGGAATTAAGAGTACGCAACCTATGTTGTCGATGCAAAAGCAGGAACGAACAGAGGGAGCACAATCGCTTTCAAGACCGGTAACTACTCCAAGTCACTACCCTTGACCTTGTTGTGTGGCTGCACGGATACGGACACATCAAAACAACACGAAATTGTCCCGGACTTGGAACAAGTAACAGCAGTTGCAGGGAGCACGTTCCACCACCACCACCACCAAACACAACATTGGCACATTTTGAGAGCAGCATGTGTCCAAATAGATGCATCTAGTACACGAGAATCTAAACTGGCAGGGTCGACAACGAATTTCACGCCAACTCAGTCCGTCGCAGCCGTATCTATGCATGTTAGGAAACGCCACCGCGGCATGAGACAACTAACGCCAATGGATGAATGTACACAACAGAGAAGGCAGCAACGAATGGATGAACGTACACAACAGAGAAGGTAGCAACCATGTACCTGCACAACAGTCGGACGGTTCTACACGTTCCAGGAAATGGGACAGGGTGGGTAAAGTCGTTCCTATCCGGCTGAGAGCTACCGTCTTGTCTCATTCGTCGACTGGTTAGCAGCCCGTTAGCGCGGTCGGCGCCAATCTCAGAACCACACACAACCAAGCGCCTTTACGTCTTTCTTCCCATCACCACACTGACGTCTTATCGCTGGTGAAACGATGCCATACTCAAGAACAACACAAGCACACGCACACACGCACACACCTTGATCCGGTACTTGTTGCGCAGGTCCCTCTGCTCCTCGCACGTAGTGCCCCTCACCACCCCTCCCGCCGTCTCCCCGAGCGAGATCGTCCCCGGAGGCAGCGCGTCCGCGTCCGCCAGCTGCTGCACCGCCGCGGCCTCCGCCGGCGCGCCTTTCCTCCCCGGGGCGCCGACGGAGTGCTCCAGGCACCGCGCCTCGACCGACATGCCGGCAGGGAACCCGTACCTCGCCTCCCCCGCCGCCGGCCACGCCCCCATGTCCCCCGACAGCCCGCGCTCCCCCATCGTGAAGGAAGGGTCCGTCACGTCCACCTTCACGTACGCCCCCGCGAACCAAGCGCACAGGAAGTGGAACCGCTTCCCGCACACGGGCCTCCCGTCCCCCAAGT